CCAATCACTTTTACATTTTAAACATCTGAATAAGATTTTGAAGGTTTGCTGGATAGTACGTGCTCCTCCAAATATCCCTGTCCTAAGCAGTTTGGGCATTACACACAATCGTAGGACTGGAAAGGACCTTGGAGGTCATCTACTCCAACCCCCTGCTCAAGCAGGAAATCTTATAGCAGTGGTGGCGAACCTATGGCACGCGTGCCAGAGCCCTCTCTGTGGGCACGCACGCCATGCCCTGGAGATGGCAACTGTCCCTCTTCAACCAGCCACCCGCTAACTCGCTGAGGTCCCACGTGGTAGGATGCATCCCAGTACCCATGTGCTCGCTGGCCTGTGTGTGCAGGGGCTGATGGTGCCTGCCTCATCTTGCCCTGTGACAATGGCACCCCCGCCCTGCCTCGCCTCACCCTGCAGCACGAGCCTCCCACCCACCGCCCCACCTGCCAGAGACTCCCTGGATCTCCCCCAACCCTGCCCGACCCCCACAGGCGTCTCCCCCCACGAGCAACATTGAGGTGATCACGCCCACCTTGGCCACACCCACCCAATCTGCCATAACCAGCACAGCCACGTCCACCTGGCACCCGGCGATAAATAAGTGGGTTTTGGGTTGCAGTTTGGGCACTCGGTCTCTAAAAGGTTCGCCATCACTGCCTTATAACATTCCAGACAAATGGCTGTCCAATGGTCACTGCCTCCAGCTTAAAAGCACCCACAACTTCTGGAGGCAACCTGTTCCACTGGGTTTATAGAACCACCGAGTTGGATAGGATTTCAGAGGTCTTCTAGTCCAACCCCCCCACTCAAGGCTACAGGCTGGTAGCAAGGCACTTACAGATGCTGGACCATCTCTGATATCCCCAGGGGGTATCCGTGATCTTCCAAAAATAACTTTAAAAACAACCCTAGAAACCAGCATCTAAAAGTCTGCTGATCCCTGGCTGAGAATGGACAGAAATTTTAAACATTTAAAAGGCAACCCCCCCCCAAAAAAATCTCCCAAGTGACTGAAGTCTGCACCCTCTACAGTTGGGACTCACCATCTGCATCTGGGTAACTGTCGATGACACTCATGGACGCAGACTTGGGCAGGTGACCACAGGGAGAACTTGGGGACAAGCCATAGACCTGCTTCCTCTTGCCATGTTCCTGAAGACAAGACCAGATAGGGGGGGATTCATCACCTTGGCTACAGGAAAGGTCCAGAGTTTGTGTCCCACCACTCTCTGCTTCATGCCACGCCCAAACTTACTGACTTGGGATGAGCCATAACGTGCCCCTTTTGGGTGTGTGTTTTTAGAGCAATGAGGAAACACACACACCATCGTTTATAAAGCCAGCTTTGCAGTTTAGCACGTTAGGCAAAGCTGCTTGGTATTGTAACCCATCATGTCTTTTGACTCCAGCCGTTAAACAGGGAGTCCTCGGCTTACGACCACGACTGAGCCCAACATTTCTGTTGCTAAGTGAAACAGTGACCTTTCTTGCCACTGTGAATCGCTGCAGTTGTTAAATTACTAACACGGTTGTTAAGTGAATCCGACTTCCCCATTGACTTTGACTGTCAGCAGCTCGCAAAAAGGTGAATCACGTGACCCTGGGATATAAAGATGAGTCAGTGACCAAGTGTTTGGATTTTGATCATGTGACCATGGCGATGCTGCAATAGTTGTAAGTGTGAAAAACAGTCATCGGTCCCTTTTTTGGGGGCCGTTGTAACTTGAACAGTCACTAAACAAACTGTTGTAAGTTCAAGGACTACCTATACTTGTTTTAATGGGGAAAGATATGAAAAACAGGGATAGAGCAATAGGAGCAAAGTCTATACTTCAAAAACTTTGAGTTGTATCTTTAACTGTTGCAGCTCACTCGAAGGTTCTGCTCCCATGACAACTTAACCAGGTCAGCTGAAAATCTAGCACAGTGGTTCTCCACCTGTGGGTCGGGACCCCATTTGGAGTCGAACGACCATTTCACGGGGGTCGCCAAACAATGCAGTCCGCCATTTTTTCCCCTTTTCCTTAGCTGTGCTACTCCCTTTTATTCTATTGGCTTTTGAAAGCCAATAGAATAGACTCCTTGAATAGAGTCTAATTCTATTGGCTTTCCAAAGCCAATAGGAATTGTCCAGGCTGTCTCTGCCCTGCTGAGCCCGCCAAAAGTCCCAGTCTGCAAACGGGGCTGCACCAGTTGAGTAGTCCTCGACTTACGACCGGTTGAGTAGTCCTCGACTTACGACCGGTTGGGGGGGGGTTGCGGCATTAAAAAGGTTGAGAACCACTGATCTAGCAGATGAATTCTATAACTTGCTAAGTTGGCTTAGAATTAATGCCAGTTTGCTTTTTCGTGGTTTACTCTTGTGTATTCTTATGGAATTTACTCTCTGCCTCTCTCATTGGTCTGTCTGGGAATCAGGCAAGCTTACCTGAGGCATCACCTGGCCTTCTTCCTCCTCCTCCTCGTCCTGAGAAAGCAGGGATCCCATTTCATCATTGCTATGAATAATAGGGGCCCGCCGGGGGTCTCTTCTTGCCAAGGCATGCCCATCCAGTTGCTCCGTGGAGTCAAGTTCCCCGGGTGCCAGTTCTTTCAAACTTAAGCTGAAACAGATGGACATAGTTCAAACATCAGGACATCATTTGCTTTCGGTTGACTAGGCACTGGGACCCACGCTGATGCTCCCAACTCAGTTCTGAGCAAATCTCAAAAAGCACTTGGCAAAGGAGAAAATTGCAAACCATTTCAGCAATGACCATCCCAGATGTATCACTCGCAGACCTATTAACCCGCCATGTGACTGGCTTGAGTTTACGGTAATGTGAAACACAACCACTGTGTTTTATTGAACAGAAATGGCTCAGCGCAGCATTGAATCCCAATGGCAGCAGAAATCTACCTCCAACTATGGGACAAGGGGGGACATGACAGCAGTATTCCAATATCTCAGGGGCTGCCATAAAGAAGAGGGAATTAAGCTATTTTCCAAAGCACCTGAAGGCAGGACAAGAAGCAGCAGGTGGAAACTAATCAAGGAGAGAAGCAACCTAGAACTATGGAGAAACTTCCTGACAGTGAGAACAAGTGGAACCACCTGCCTCCAGAAGCAGTAAATGCTCCAACACTGGAAGTTTTTAAGAAGAGACTGGACAGCCATTTGTCCGAAATGGTGTAGGTTTTCTGCCTGAGCAGGGGGTTGGACTAGATGACCTCCAAGGTCCCTTCCAACTTTACTACTATTACTATTACTACTATTTAGGCAACTCTGCTATTTTTAAGGGGGAAAAATATACATACCGTATTTTCCGGCGAATAAGACGACCCCCGACTTCGGAAAAGATTTGCACTGTTTAGAAAGTCATCTTATACGCCGGAAAATGCGGTATCATAAAATATATTTTATCAATGTCGCATATTTGAATAAACCTCACAGGGGTTTTGGCGACATCACCAGACATAGCCAAAGATTGTTGCATACAACTGGCTTTTCCCCATTCTGAAAAGCTATATAGAACCGGTTTTTCCTGCACTGGGGGGGGGGGTAAGTGGGCCACATTTGCATAGAACTTCACTGTCCTGCCACCCACCCCTCCTGTTCAAATAATCTATTTGTCTTGGCAGGCTTTTGGGACTCAAGACCATTTTAATCTGAAGAATTTTTGTCCCATCATACTAAAAATATGGTTTGAGTTCTGTTCCTCGTTGTGAATGAGGGGAGGCAGCAGAAATGCTTTGCAGAATATATTCCAGTTAACTAAACCTTAAGTTACATCAGTTTGCATGACCCTCTGAACTCATGGGCTGGGTTCATGTAACATTCCAGGCACAAATGTGGTTGAATAGTTTGTGATTGAGTATATTTTGTGAACAGAGGAAAAATGGCATTCAAAATGAGTTTGGTTAACCTGCAAGTTCAGGTACGGTTACATTGCAGTGCTGAGTCCTTTTCTGTCTCCCTAAGTCAGTGGTTCTCAACCTGTGGATAGGGACCCCATTTGGGGTCGAACGACCATTTCACGGGGGTTGCCAAAAAACGCAGTCCGCCATTTTTTTCCCCCTTTTCCTTAGCTGTGCTACTCCCTTTTATTCTATTGGCTTTTGAAAGCCAATAGAATAGACTCTCTTGAATAGAGTCTAATTCTATTGGCTTTCAAAAGCCAATAGGAATTGTCCAAGCTGTCTCTGCCCTGCTGAGCCCGCCAAAAGTCCCATTCTACAAACGGTGCTGCACCAGTTGAGTAGTCCTCGACTTACGACCGGTTGAGTGGTCCTCGACTTACGACCGGTTGGGGGTCGCGGCATTAAAAAGGTTGAGAACCACTGCCATCATTGACACAGAGACTGCAGTTTCTTCCTTCACTCCCCATCTCTGGGAAACTCTGTTGAGAAAGCAGTTGGTTCACTGGGATGAAGAACCTTGGAAGAAACAGATAACCCCAGCTCTTTTCATTCAGGTTTCGGGCTAAAATTTAGTACTATCCAGTGAGATCCTCTGCTGGTTTGGGTTTGGTATCTTTAGTACCTAGTTCACTAATTATACTCAGTTTGATCTTTTGACTTTTTTAATCTGTTAAAAGTGAGCTGGTTGCATCTGAAGAGAGAATGTGGGGGAGTTTATAAAGATGAATGAGGAGATGAAAGAAGTTATTTTAAAAATGGGGGAAAAAAATTGAAGAATCCATAGGGCAGTTGACAGATGAAATTAAACAGGAAACAAGCAGCGAAAAGGGTTGTTAGAACAGAAAAATGGAGAATGGTACAAAAATGTTTAAAGATCAACATTCAACTGAACAAAGAACTTTTCTTGTTGGAATTAGTGGACAGTCAATTGGAAAACAGTGATGGAAGATTATTTTTATTTAATCCATATCTATTATACAGTATTTGCAAAAATAAAAACAAAGACTAATAGGCTGAAAAATAGTTTTTATCCCATAGCTGTAACCGTATTAAACACTATTGTATAGTGCAACATTGAAGTGCAGTATTAGGGGCAGCACAATGGTGAATAGAATGTGAAGGATGTGTGTATATAATGCATGTTTTTACTTGTGGTTTTTACTTGTGTGTAGTGTGCACTGTGGACAGCACTTCATTTCGTTGTGAGATACACAATGACAAAAAAGATATTCTATTCTAAAATGAAAAGATTGTGAAATACCCCAAATGGAAGACTGGCTTGTGACGATGACAGAATGAGCAGAGATGGCAAAATTAATTAAAATTAATAAAGCCTTAATTTCATTTTTCAATGGGGCCCATTTATAACTTTTTGGAATGCAGGCCTGGTACTCAAAAGGCTAAGCGGGGCCACCTCACCCCCAATTCTACCATCTTTGTGCTGCAAAGCAATTTATAGTGAGGTTCTATATCTCTTTTTACCAGTAGGTGTCACCTAAGATGAAGCAAAGAAAAAATAGAATTCTCCCCTAAAATAAAAACCTCTATTGCAAATCAGCAAACTGGATCACGTACAAATCAGCATTATTGGCAGGCTACTAATAGCACCTTCTCAGACTAACAAAGTCTACAAAAAGGTACAGTCCTTGACTTGTGACAGTTCATTTAGTGACTAAGGTTACAATGGCATTGAAAAAAGTGACTAATGACTATTTTCCACACTTACGACCATTGCAACATCCCCATCGGTCATATGATCAAAATTCAGACGCTTTTATGACAACTGCAGTGTCCCGTGGTCATGTGATCATTTCTTGCCTTCCGACCGGCAAAGTCAATGGGAAAACCAAAGTCATTTTAACAACCGTTTTACTAAATTAATTAAATTAAGGAGAAAGTAAGTGAAGTGATTCGCTTAACAAATGTGGCAAGAAAGTTAGGGCAAAATTCACTTAACAAATGTCTCTTAGCAACGTAAATTTTAGGCTCAGTTGTGGTTATAAATTGAGGACTACCTGTATAGATTTTTCATCAGCTGGATCTGATGATATGAGCTACCGTTTCCAAAAATGTATTCCTATTAATAAAATGTAGTAGTCTGAAAAAGTGCAACCAGAACCCTGATTTTTGTCTCCCGTGGAATAACATTGCACTTCTTCTACAACACACAGACACACAAAACCCTCTTTGGACTTTGGGAAAGACTCCCAATCAGCCCTTGCATCGGACCGTTTATCATCAGAATAAAAGGGAGTAGCACAGCTAAGGAAAAGGGGGAAAAAATGGCGGACTGCGTTGTTTGGCGACCCCCGTGAAATGGTCGTTCGACCCCAAATGGGGTCCCGACCCACAGGTTGAGAACCACTGGCCTAGAGTCACCGTAAGTAGGCAGCTATATAAATTTTCTAAAATAAATGGATGTTGCGTGGGGAAAACGGAAAGAAGGAATGCTATGTACAGTGCATTGCCTTGAACTCCGGACTTAAAGGCAAGAAAAAAAAAATCTTAACAAATGAATCCACAAGCAAATGGTGGCTATGCAATGGTGGGATTCAGCCAGTTCGCACCACTTCGGCAGAACCGGTAGCTAATTTTTTTGTTACCCAGGCCCAGAATGGACTTCCGGAAGCGGCATCTACACCGAGAACCCGGTTGTTCACATATTTGAATCCCACCACTGTGGCTATGCATGTTTTACTTTCACTCCTGGACATGTTCGTTGAAAGAGGAGGTCCTGCAAGTAAATAAAGCCTGGAAACATGGGAGGTTGTTTTTTTTTCTCTCTTTAGCTGAAAACTGAGCTTCAGGCACTTTTCACATCCCCATGAACAAACACAGAAATATGGAGTGATGTAGTCAACCTCCTCTCACTCACTTTTTCCTGAATGAGGTCATCCCCTGGCCTGAACTCCCATCTGGCTGGGTTTTTCTACCCGGGGTCAGTCCCCAGCACACCCTCTCATAAATTTAGCTTTCCCCATCCTCTGCCAATCTAGTCAGATTGTCAGAATCCAATTATATTTCATCTTTAGTTATCAAATATAGAAAACCCCAATTCTGCCTTCTCTGGATTCTGCCGTAAGAGGGGGAGAAGGGGGAGAACAAAGGGGCTTTATGGCCCTCACTTCCTTCAGTATACTTCTAAGGAACTGAATGTGTGTATTGCAAAAGAACTAACCATAAGAGTGGGGCCGTTTTCCTTTCATGTAGTTCTCTCTGAAGTCTCCATCCAGCCTGCAGTAAGGAAAAGGGGGTGGAAGTGTAATGCCTGAGACTGTCGCTGAAAGAGGGGGGTGATTGGGTGGGGCTACTGGGGAACCCCTTAAAACCTTGAATGGGAGAGCTTGGACCCCAAGTCCTGTCTAGAACGCCTACAACCATTTTCTCTTAATAAAGGATTCCTGTTGGAAGAACTATTCCAAGAGTTCTGTCTTCTTAAGATGCAAAGTGGGGTGGGTCCTTACACAGATTTTGTTTAATATTTGCAAAAGTCAAAGGGCGCCAGCAGGATGGAACCTGGTCCTTAATATATCCTAGCAAACATCCCTCCCAGGTGCTGCAGATTTGCAAGGCAGGAGCCAAAATGGGGTCCAATGGCCATAAATCAGGAAGAGCTCTATTTTTCCAGGCCAGGCTGCTGAAACACAGAGATAAAGATGGAACAAAAGCTAGCAAAGAGGGTACAGGACATTATAATTCTGAATCATCGGTGAAGCCTTGCTTTTGCCTCCAGCAAGCAAGGGCTCCAGCTGCCAGAATTAAAACTGGACACCAGCTTTCCCCAGTCTTCCCATCCAAATTTCCCAGTCTTTGGCCACGCTGGCTGGGGAACCTGGGAGCTGTTGTCCCAACACATTGAAAGGGCTGCAGCACACAGGGCAACAAGGCGAAAAAAACACACCAAAACACTAAGTGTACAGTATTTTGCTTTTTCCTAGGCAGTGAAATTCAGGACCATTTCTTCTGGAGGAGAAAAGACAGTCATAAACCAGTTTCTAAAACACCAGGGCTGGATTTTGACACAATGACATCAGAAAAACACATTTCTTTCCACCTACAGTAATTATGGGTAGTCCTCGACTTACAACGGTTCATTTAGTGACCGTTCAAAGTTACAATGGCACTGAAAAAAGTGACTCATAACTGTGACCGTTGCAGAATCCTCATGGTCAAAATCCAGATGCTTGGCAACTGCTTCATATTTATGACTGTTGCGGTGTCCTGGGGTCATGTGATCCGCTTTTGCGACCTTTTGACAAGCAAAGTCAATGAGGACGCCAGATTCACTTAACAATCATATTACTAATTTAACAAATGCAATGAGTCACTTACAGTAACAACTGTGGCAAGAAACGTCGTAAAACGGGGCAACTCACTTAACAAATGTTTCACTTAGCAACGTACATTTTGGGCTCGATTGTGGTTGTAATTCGAGGACTACCTGTACACACTAAGGCATTTACATGTAACAAGAAGCCATATTGTTGTTGACCACTAAGCCCATTCATTACTCTGTATATGACTTCGTGCATTTAGTGTACAATTTATGACTTAGTGCACTTTCAATCCAAATTGGGTTTATCCAGTAAATAATGATTTACCATTTCACGGGGGTCGCCAAACAACGCAGTCCGCCATTTTTTCCCCCTTTTCCTTAGCTGTGCTACTCCCTTTTATTCTGTTGGCTTTTGAAAGCCAATAGAAGAGACTCTCTTGAATAGAGTCTAATTCTATTGGCTTTCAAAAGCCAATAGGAATTGTCCAGGCTGTCTCTGCCCTGCTGAACCCGCCAAAAGCCCCATTCTGCAAACGGTGCTGTACCAGTTGAGTAGTCCTCGACTTACGACCGGTCGAGTAATCCTCGACTTACGACCGGTTGGGGGTCGCGGCATTAAAAAGGTTGAGAACCACTGGCTTAGAGGGTGCTACGAAAATTGTCTGGAGGCACCCTGGTCTCCAGAGTGACCATGTCACTTATCTATTACCCCAGAGAACATAAAACAGCACTTTTCGATAGTTTACCTTCGCTGGTCAAAATCTGGGTCATCTTCCAGCACTTTTCCAGGCTCCCAGCTGTGCCTTCGGAAGGAATCGAAGGTGTGACTGGATCCTCTCAAGGTCCGGGACCGGCGCATGTGCACGTTCAAGAACTGGCTGCTATCTTCCTCCTTCTCCTCTTCCTCTTCCGTGATTTCCCAGTCTCCTGCCAATGATGGGCCTGGCTCCATGGTTGCCAAGCAGTGGTGTTTCTCGTTGCATTCATAGGGGTGCATCTCCAAGGTCGAGGGGTTCATGTCTTGCAAAGGGGGGGGATGCCAAAGACCAGAAGGCTTTGGGGAAGAGGAAGGTGCAGGAGAAAAAAAAGGAGAAAGTCGAATTAAATAAGGCCGGTCATTCAGGTTTGGGAATTTGCAGTCTTGAGGCTAAGTGAAATTTAAAATTCAGCTATTGTGCCGAGTACGCAAGTGAAGTCTTTTCACAGTAATTTACTTCTGAAGTAAGATAATAATCCCACCTCACAAGATATGCTTAGCTATCAATATTTGAACCGTGGTTTATTCCAGGAACCCAATTTGTTGAGTTTGCACAACACATAATATAATGCATAATGCTATGCCTAGTTCACAAAGACACATTAAGTTCCAGTGTGGATGGTTAAGTTGGTGTGACACTGCCACTGAGTAAAGAGCAAAGAAAGCAGCTGAGTCTTTAAAAGGCAAACTGGGAAGGCTGAAGCCTGCCATTCCCTCATTCCCACCCCCTCTCCCCCTGGGGGGGGGGAGAAGGAAAAACAACAACAACACCACAACAACTTTATGTTCCCAAACTCTACAGTCCTCTTATCATCACAGCATCTCCTCATCTTTCATCTGAGCAAGCAGGCACAGATACATTTCTATTTTCTAAGCATGCCTGTTTGAGAGCCCAGCAACATCCTTAAAAAAAATATCTGGGGTTTAATAAATAACATGCAAACTCCCCCTTTTAATATGCAGAAATTAAACTACTATTAAAAAGTAAAAGAGTAAAGTCACACGTCTATGGAGATCCTCAGTCATCCGGGTCACAGTTGTCCCAAAGATGCTTTTTCGGGAGGCAACTGGACTTTCTTGTTTTTCTTTGAAGATGTTTCGCTTCTTATCCAGGAAGCTTCTTCAGCTCTGATATATAAATATATAAATCCTTCCATTTCCCACCATCCAGTCAGAGCTCAAGCAGCTTCTTGAAGGAGAAATGAAAAAAACAACAACAAAGTCCAGATGCCTTGTGAAAAAGCACTTTTGGGACAGGAAAGTCACATAATCATGTTGAAGTTGGTAAAAAAACTTTTTTCTATTTGTAGCCATCCAGAAAAGGAATAATGAGACAGTTGTGCCCCACACAACAAAATTCTGCAAGCAATATTCCAAAATTTCATCCAATCTTTTGGACAGGTTAGGACGGTGATGGGCAACCAGCATCTGATAATTCAGGAAAACAGCACATGTTTGAAGAATACCCAATAGGCAGAACATTTCAGCCATGTTTTTAGGCAAATTTCTTTTGGGATCCCATCCTATACAACAGTGGTTCTCAACCTTTTTAATGCCGCGACCCTCATCCGGTCGTAAGTCGAGGACTACTCAACTGGTGCAGCACCGTTTGCAGAATGGGACTTTTGGCGGGCTCAGCAGGGCAGAGACAGCCTGGACAATTCCTATTGGCTTTTGAAAGCCGATAGAATTAGACTCTATTCAAGAGAGTCTATTCTATTGGCTTTCAAAAGCCAAGAGAATAAAAGGGAGGAGCGCAGCTAAGGAAAAGGGGGAAAAAATGGCGGAATGCGTTGTTTGGCGACCCCCCCGTGGAATGGTGGTTCGACCCCAAATGGGGTCCCGACCCACAGGTGGAGAACCACTGCTATACAACATGAGAAAACTGAAAACAACAGGCTATTACTTACAACAGTTCGCTTAGTGACCATTTGAAGTTACAATGGCACTGAAAAAAGAGACTTATGACCATTTTTCACACTTATGAGCATTGCAGCATCCCCATGGTCACAAGATTTACATTCGGATCCTTGACAACTGACTCACATTTATGACGGTCACAGTGTCCTAGGATCACATGATCCCCTTTGGCGACCTTTTGACAAGCAAAGTCAATAGGGGAAGCCAGATTCACTTAACAACCATGTTACTGATTTAACAACAGCAACAATGCGCATAACAAATGTGGCAAGAAAAGTCGTAAAATGGGGCAAAACTCACTTAACAAATTTCTCACTTAGCAACATAAATTTGGGGCTCAATTGTAGTCAAAACCTGAGGACCACCTGTACTAACACTGTTATACAGGTAGTCCTCGATTTATGACCACAATAGAGCCCAAAATTTATGTTATTAAGTGAGATATTTAAGTACTATTTTGTCCCAGTTTATGACCTTTCTGGCCACAATTGTTAAGTGAATCACTCCAGTTGATAAATAACACGGTTGTTAAGTGAATCTGGGTTTCCCGTTGACTTTTGTTTGTCAAAAGGTTGCAAAAAGTGATCACATGACCCCAGGATGCTGCAATGACCATAAGTATGAACCAATTGCTAAGTATCTGAGTTTTAATTGGGGCGGCTACAAAGGTCATGTGTGAAAAACGATCATAAGTCACTTTTTTCAGTGCCGTTGTAACTTTGAACGGTCACTAAATGAGCTGTTGTAAGTCGAGGACTACCTGTATATTCACACACAGGCTTAACCTGTTTTTATACATCAAATCGTAAACTAAGCAGAGTTCACTTGCACAATACAGTGTGTCTCAAAATGTGGCCAAGATTAACCTGAACCACACTTTGCTTATACTATCAATGCACCTGCTAGATATTTACCCTAACCTGGGTAAGTTTGATGTGCAAATAGTATACAAAAAAAACAAGCAACAAAAAAGCTTTTTCATGTCTCTTTCTAAAGAGACTCAGCTGGATGACTTTGGGCCGACTGGCAGGAAACAGTGAATCCCACCTTAGGCATGAAGTCTTAGACCAGGGATAGTCAACCTTGGCTCTTTTATGACTCGTGGACTTCAATTCCCAGAATTCCTGAGCCAGCTGGCTCAGGAATTCTGGGAGTTGAAGTCCACGAGTCATAAAAGAGCCAAGGTTGACTACCCGTCTTAGACCAATCACCAGGAGACTCAGAGTACTAGTCCCACCTTAGCCAGCTGAGTGACTTTGGGCCAATCTCTCTCAGCCCAACCTCACAGGGTTGTTGTTATGGGGAAAATGGGAGCGGGAAGGAATATTTTTCCCCCTTAAACCATTTATAGAGTAACAAAGGCAGGATTAAAAAAAATCTAAATCTAATAAATACTATCAATAAAATTAAAAAAGACTTCAATTAAAGCCCATACCGGATTGGAAAAATACCTTTCACCTCAGCAGACGAGATAGGTCTCCACTCCCATAATTCCCAACCAGCACACCTGTTTGCCAGGTGTACAGGCAGGGAACCATGGGAATTGAGTCATTGGAAGCCATTTAATTAGAAACGGTTTCCTCAAATCCAACTGAAGCAGCCAGTTGCCCGCTCTTAAAAATGTGAGGGAAAAAAATGCAAATCTGAGGAATAATAGCGACAGTATCTACACTTTAAGCATCGATAGATATAAATCTGCTTTTTAAAGTGTGTGTGTGTATGTATGTGTGTGTGTGTGTGTCCACTTTAAAAATAAGGATGTGTAAACGTTTTGCTCATACACACAAATATACACCCAAAACAGGAACTAGGTTTTTCTTTTAAAATCCCCGTTTCCTAGGCTTGTTGGAAATAATTTGCCTTTCTTGCCAAATGAGGGGGAGTAAGAAAAAGATGCTGGCCACAATCCACCTCAGCGCTGTGGAAAAATGGCTGTGGGTAAAGAATCCAACAGCCAGCTGAGATAAAGCAGGAATTTACCCCCCTCACAAACAAAATCACATTTCTGGATTGCTGAAGTTTCAGTCTTTTTCATAAGCAAATATTTCCAAAAGCAAAATGGTTCCTCCCACATTCTTGAGGAAACAAAATGGCGTCACTGCGGCCAAGCATTGCCACTGGCCAAGGTGGGAAGCCGGGAGAGTGCAACACCAGGCCATCTTCTGAAAAAAAGCACAATTTTACCAGTGACCCTAGAAGCAGACCAGCAGATAGAGGAAGAGATAGAGGAAGAGAGAAAAATTTGGTTTGGGCTGAATTTCAGTCAGAACTGAAAGAGGTCCCAGCCTAAAAACAGAAGTGAAGTGGTGTCACCTCCACACCCAGAAAGGAAGCAAGTGTTAAGCTGAAGAAAGAGCTGCAATATGATACGTTCCTCTCTGAGTGTGTCTATGTGCGTGCCTTGTGTGTGTAGAAAGTGTGAGATGAGACTTGCACGTATGGTTGCTAGGCAACTGCCCATTTCCAGGATTCTTCTGAGGAATGGGATCTACTTGCTTCACTGGAATCCAAAAACAGTGTCCACCTGTAAGAAGGCCAACCTGGATTTGTAGCTAGTCCTCAGTGGCACACGGTTCTTCCTGCCAGCAGAAGCCTTAATAATAGAATTAACAGTGTTGGAAGAGACCTTGGAGGTCTTCTAGTCCAACCCCCTGCCCTTGCAAGATGGTGCTCCCTCTTGAAGTGGCTGGCTCAGGATCCTAATTTAATGGAATGGGAATGGGAATGGGAATGGAATAGAATAGAAGAGAATAAACTAGGAATGGAATGGAATGGAATGGAATGGAATAGAATAGAATAGAATAGAATAGAATAGAATATTATATAGGGGCTACCTTGCTCAATAGTAGTAACTGTGAGAGGGACCTCAGAGTCCTAGTGGACAATCACCTAAATACAAGCCAGCCGTGCTGCAGCTGCCAAAAAAGCCAACACAGTGCTAGGCTGCATTAACAGAGGGATAGAATCAAGATCACGTGAAGTGTTAATACCACTTTACAATGCCTTGGTAAGGCCACACTTGGAATACTGCATCCAGTTTTGGTCACCGCAATGTAAAAAAGATGCTGAGACTCTAGAAAGAGTACAGACAAGAGCAACAAAGATGATCAGGGGACTGGAGGCTAAAGCATATAAGGAACGGTTGCTGGAATTGGGGATGTCTAGTTTAATGAAGAGAAGGACGAGGGGGGACAGGATAGCAGTCTTCCAGTATCTCAGGGGCTGCCCCAAAGAAGAGGGAGTCAAGTTATTCTCCAAAGCGCCTGAAAGCAGGACAAGAAGCAACAGATGGAAACTAATCAAGGAGAGAAGCAACCTGGAACTAAGGAGAAACTTCCTGACAGTGAGAACGATTAACCAGTGGAACAACCTGCCCC